GCCAAAGAATTGATGCTTTTGAACTGTGGTGTTGGAGAAGACTCTTGAGAGTCCCTTGGACTGCAAGGAGATCCAACCAGTCCATCCTAAAGGAAATCAGTCCTGAATATTCACTGGAAGGCCTGATGGTAAAACTGAAACTCCAATACTTTGGCCCCCTGATGCAAAGAACTGACTCATAGGAAAGGACCCTGATGCTGGGAAAGATTGAGGGCAGGAGGAGAAGGGGACGACAGAGGATGAGATGGTTGGATGGCTGGCATCACCGACTCAAAGGACATGAGTTTGAGTAAATTCCGGGTATTGGTGATGGACAGGGAGGCCTGGTGTCCTGCGGTTCATGGTGTTGCAATGAGTCAGACAGGACTGAACGACTGAACTGACTGACTGACAAGATAGTAATAGACTCACAGACAAAAAAGAAAACTTATAGTTAAATGTGGAGGATGGTATAAATTAGGAGCTTGGGATTAACATATAAATACTACTATAATTAAAATAGATAACCAACAAGGACGTAAGTTCAATATTTTTTAATGACCTATACTGGAAAAGAATCTGAAGAAGAACAGATGAACCTGTAACACTGGATCATTGTGCTGTTTTCCCCTGCCATTTCCCCGCCAAGTTTGCCATCCCTGGAGTTTTGCCAGATTCGCCGCATTTTCTCACCCAGGTCAGACCCCAAAGCTGGGATGATCTGAGCGCCTGGTCAGAGCCCAGTGCATGGTCTGCATGTGTTCAGCAGTGTCCTTGTTTTCACGTCCACAAGGGCTTCTGGCAGCTCTCTGTTTTGGACTCACAGCGTGGCCTCACAGTGAGGCCCATACACGTCCTGTCACAAAAATGGTACTCACTCACTGAGATGTTACATCGGGAAGAACCCCAAGGGCTGGTCTAGTCCATGTTCCTACTGACTTAAGGATTTCTCCCACTGAACCCCTTAAATGGTTGTTCAACTCAAACTCAAGAAAATACCCTTTCCTTATAGAAATGAAAATTGTACTTTTTCAATTTACCACGTTGTAAAATCAAATTTTAGTCAATGTAGTCTGTATGGTCAAAGTTATGATTTTTCTGGTAGTCATGTACAGATGTGAGAGTTGGACCATAAATAAGGCCAAACACAAAGAATTGATGCTTTCAAATTATGGTGTTGGAGAAGACTCTTGAGAGTCCCTTGGACTGCAAGGAGACCAAACCAGTCAATCCTAAAGGAGATCAACCCTGAATATTCATTGGAAGGACTGATGCTGAAGCTGAACCTCTGATACTTTGGCCACCTGATGCAAAGAGCCAACTCATTGGTAAAGACCCTGATGCTGGGAAAGACTGAGGGTAGGAGAAGAAGGGGGCAGCAGAGGATGAGACTGTTGGGTGGCATCACCGACCCAAAGATATGAGCTTGAGGAAACTCCAGGAGATAGTGGAGGACAGAGGAGCCTGGTGTGCTGAAGCCCATGGGGTCACAGAGTCAGACACATTTTAAGGACTGAACAACAACCCAAAAAAATCAAATTAGTGCATCCATAAGTCAAATTTTTAAAATAATAGGATGGATGGAATAGAACAGACCAGGACAGGAACAGGTTGGATGGAATCTCAAAGTCTATTAAATGCAAAAAGGATAAATGTTCCATGAAACTTCTGTTCAGCTGGGGGTGGGGGGTGAGGGGAGCAGTCCGTGTGCGTGTAAACTGTATCTCTTACTGGGAGTCACAGTCCCAAACTTCTGACACTGCCCAGCAGGATTACTCTTATCAACCCCAGGAAATCAATTTGCTTATCATTTACTACATCAAACTTAGCTTTCATTTAAATCAAAATTGTCAGCTTGCTAGCATCCATCTAGCTCAATCCTACTCCTAGTCTTTTTTCAGTTAATCTTCTCAGTTAGGCTAAATGTGTAGCATGGGGGGCTTTTCAGGTGAGCCTAGTGATAACCTGCCTGCCAATGCAGGAGACATAAGAGGCGCAGGTTCGATCCCTGTGTCAGGAAGATCCCCTGGAGGATGAAATGGCAACCCACTCCAGTAGTGTTCTTACCTGGAGAATCCCATGGACAGAGGAGCTGTGGACTAAAGTCCATGGATTGCAAAGAGTTGGATATGACGAAAGCGACTTAGCACACATGAATGTGAAACATTTAATTCACTAATTTTTTTACCTAAATGAAGAATGTAAAAGGCTGTCCCTGGTGGTCCAGTGGTTAGGACTCCATGATCCCAATGCAGGGGACCTGAGTTCAATCCCTGGTCAGGGAACTAGATCCTGCATGCAGCAACTAAGAGTTAACATGCTATAAGTAAGAACTGGTATAGCCAAAAAAAAAATTTTAAACAGAAAAGAATGATAAAGAGCATCATTAAATAGCTTCTCCCCTCCTTCTGTCCCTCTGCGTCTCTCTCTCTCTAACTGGAAGCTTGTCTTTTGGCCAGCCTGGGCCAACGGTGCTCCATCTAGCCACAGAGTGCAAGGATCCTGGCCTTTTCAACACCTCTGTCACCCCCACACCAAGTCATTTTCCTGTAAAACGGCAGCCAGGAGTTCCTCACTGCTGAAAGACGTACTTCTCCTTCTCGCCAATCTCTCCGAGTTACGCTCACCGTTGCTTTTCTGCTGTTGTCACCCGATCAGCTCTTCACCTTGGGCTGGAGAGAGGATATCCGGCCAGGCGAACCCCTGCACACTCGGAAGTTCTGCTTCGATGCCGTGTCCCACAGCAGCCCCGTCACTCTCTACGACTGTCACGGCATGAAGGGGAACCAGCTCTGGGGCCATCGGAAGGTAAGGGCCGGCGTCCCGTGGGCAGGGCGAGCTCCGCTCCTCCGCTTGGCGTTCTCTCACGCAGAGGTTTGTTTCGTTTAACACACTGCTTTGATGGAAATTGCCACCTGGCCAGCATTTGGTGGTGGCCCTGGTGGTAAAGAACCCGCCTGCCAAAGCAGGAGACGTAAGAGACGCAGGTTGGATCCCTGGGTCGGGAAGATCCCCTGGAGGAGGGCATGGCAACCCTCTCCAGTGTTCTTTCCTGGAGAATCCCATGGACAGAGGAGCCTGGTGGGCTACAGTCCGTGGGGTCACAAAGAGACATGACTGAGCGATTAAACAAGTTTATGCAGGACATTTTATAAGTTCAAGGTGTACAGCGTAATAATATGATATTTGCATGAATTGAGAAAGAAAGTATAGCTAACAGATCCATCGCTGAGCAGTTACAGACTCGTGTGTGTGTGATGAGAACATTTAAGATTTACTCTCTTGAGACTGCCCTGGTGGCCCAGGGGTTAAGACCCGGTCTTGCCATGACGGGGACTCTTCAATGAAGTTTCAATCCCTGGTCGAGGAACTAAGATCCCACGTGCGGCAGGCCGCTGAGCCTGCGTGCTGCAGCTAAGACCAGACGCAGCCAAATTAAAACAAATAAGTAAAACCACATCATCAAAAAAATTCCAGTCTCAGCAACTTTCAAGTATACGATACAGAATTACTCACTGTGGTCTCCATGCTGGACATAACATGCCCAGAAACGTACCCATCTCAGAACTGGACCACCCTCCCCGACCCGTCGCCCAGCTCTCAGTCTCTCTTTACGGGGCTCTCGGCCACCACGAGAAGAGGAGGGACTCGTGTCACTAGGCTTCCTAGCGTCTCCACCACAGCCAGCACCCAGGCTGAGCCCCGTTTGTGGTTATTACCACCACCAGGGGGAGCCCTGCCACGGGAACAGTGACTTGCTGAAGCGCCTTCAATGAAAACACTCCAATTACCGCCCACATTCCAAAGACATCTGAAAGGAGACGCTGTTCCCCCCAGCAGCCCCTACGTCTAGTTGGTCACTAAGACGTGTGGACCCCACCCTGCCTGCCATTTCTGTGGCCGCAGATCCTGATTTCAGACCTCTCCATCTCAGCGCTGGATGAGCGGAACAACTGCATAAACGGCCACCCTGCCACCCTTTCCCCCGACCCACCTTCCATCCTGAGGTCAGAGGGGTACCCACAAACTCTGGTCATTGCATTCCTCTTGTTTATACAGCACTTGGTTTCCCACTGAGAGATAAAGTGCTTTCTCCCAGCTTCTCATCCTGACACTTCACAATCTGGTCAACATCACGGTTGCTTGTCAAGCCTAAGACATCCTGCTGCTACTGCTGCGGCTAAGTCGCTTCAGTCGTGTCCGACTCTCTGCCACCCCATAGACAGCAGCCCATCAGACTCCCCCGTCCCTGGGATTCTCCAGGCAAGAACACTCGAGTGGGTTGCCATTTCCTTCTCCAATGCGTGAAAGTGAAAAGTGGAAGTGAAGTCGCTCAGTCGTGTCTGACTCTTAGCGACCCTATGGACCGCAGCCTACCAGGCTCCTCTGTCCATGGGATTTTCCAGGCAAGAGTACTGGAGTGGGGTGCCATTAATTCATCCTAAAACTGTAATGTGATGACTATTTTTTTAATTTTGCTACACCAGGTCTTAGTTTCTACAAACTCTAAGTTGTGGCATGTGGGATCTAGTTCCCTGACCAGAGATCAAACCCAAGCCTCCTGTATTGGGCACTTCCAGTCTTAGCCACTGGACCACCAGGGAAGTCCCTGTAATCTTGAATAAGCTATTTCACGTGTAATTTTCAACTTTCACATCAATATAATAGAGACAACAATTTGGTGAGATAAACTGGAAAATTTCCAGCACGATTTTTGACCGTATGATCAGATTTCCACCCAAGTGGGTGGAAGTATGCTTTTCACGTGGAGAGTGGTGGTGAGACTTGATACACAGCAATCTGTGCCGTGAAATGGAGCTTCCCTGGTGGCTCAGTGGGTAAAGAGTCTGCCTGCCACTGCAGGAGACACGGGTTCGATCCCCTGGAGAAGGGAATGACAACCCACTCCAGTACTCTTGCCTGGAGAATTCCATGGACAGAGGAGCCTGGTGAGCTACAGTCCATGGGGTCGCAAATAGTTTGACACGACTGAGTGTCCAAATAAATAACAACAACAACGATGCTAAGAAATATTAACTACTGTTATCCTTGCAGATTAAGAGCGACCTCCCATGACCTTTTCTGGCAAGGAAACATTTTTATGGGACTATAACACATGTCTTCATTGGGGTTTCCCCACATGTAGACCCTGAAGTGAGGATTTGAGTGCCCCCCAAAATCATGGCAGGGAGTGGGGAAGTGAAACGTGAAACATGAAGGGCAGAGCACCAGTACAGAGTATGTGACGAAGGAAGAACCACTACGGGCATGTGTGCCTGCTAAGTCGTTCAGTCGTGTCTGACTCTTTGTGACCCCATACTACAGCCCATCAGGCTCCTCTGTCCATGAGATTCTCCAGCCAAGAATACTGGTGTGGGTGGCCGTCTCCTACTCTAGGGGATCTTCCTGACCCAGGGATCGGACCCACATCTCTTTCATCTCCTGTGTTGGCAGGCGGGTTCCTTACCACTTGCGCCACCTGTACGGGGGAGCTCAAGTCCCCAACCCCTCTTTAAATGGTCTGGAACACACACCAGAGGCAAGGGGGAGGGGATATTCACACACCAGCACAGCTGGTCTTGGCTTAGGGCTACTGCTGGTTGGGGGGTGTGGTGTCTATTCCTGACACCTCTCTGCCGGGTGCTGCTCTTTACAGGCAGAGCTGTTCTAGAGCCCAGAGAGCAGCCGGCCAGAGAGAGAGACAGTGGCCAGCTTCAGAGGTCAGGTCAGCAGGCACCCAAGTCCTGGGGCCTGAAGGGCTGTGGGCAGACGCTGTCTGAGAACCCTACCCTACCCATCCTTGCCAACACACAGCACGTTGGTTTCTTTTTCTCTTCCTTTCTCAGTTCTGTGGTTACAGAGTGAGGCCACACACAGGTCTGTTAGCCTCTTGGGATATCTTCTTTGAGAAGAACCCATTCAAGTCTGTTGACCATGTTTTAACATGGGTTGTCTGGATTTGTTTGTTGCTGTTGATAAATTTGGAAGCATTTTTGGTGTATCTAGGTGTAGTACTTTGTTGGATATTTGTAAATATCTTACCCCAGTCAGTACTAGCCTTTTCTCCCTCCTTGGTGAAGAGCTATTCCTCATGATTAGTGTCTTCCGTGTCCTGCTTAGGAAATCTTTGTCCACACCAAACACATGAGGCCAGCGTTCTAAGCCATCTTTGGCAGCTTTGTGGTTTAATCTTCCGCACTGTGGTATAAATTCCCTGAATAGTTATTGTGTACAGTGTAAGAGGGGGTTGATTATTTGTTTCCTATTTATATTCAGTTATCAATCATAATTTACTAAAAAAAAATTTTCCCACTGCAGGGAAGTGGCGCCTTTGTCATAAGTCAAGGGACCTTATATTATATACCTGGTCTATTTATGAATCCTCATGTTTTTAACCCTCCGACCAGTAAGTCTTAGCCATATGGAAAGTAAACTGATAGAAAGTAACAATCTAATAAGAACCAAAACCCCACAACATCACTGTTAGTGGTGAAATGTTTCAGCTTCCCTTTGGAAAAGGGGGACGGGGTGAGGAGGGGGGGTGCCTGACGGGCTACAGTCCATAGGGTTGCAAAGAGTCAGACGAGAGTCAGCACACACATACAAAAATTCAATCAAGATGTTAGAGAAAGTAAAATGACCTGAAAAAAAGGGCTAATAAGACAATGTTGTGAAGATAGCTATTCTTAACCAGGTATTTACATTTCATGCAAAACCATTCAAATCCCAGCAGGTTTATTTGTGGACACTGATGAGCAGTCTGAAATTTACATGAAAATGAAAGGGTCAAGAATAGCCAAGAAAACACTGAAGAAGGAAAAGAACAAGTATCAAACGTTATAAGCAATGCACTTATTAGTGTAGTCTGCTGTTGGCATAAGGACAGACTGATGATCTAGAAGGGAGGCCTAAAAGGTTCTGATGGGGCAGCCAGATGGAGAACCACTTTTCTAGTTCCAGCCTTCAGCTACTTTCCTTACCCTACTCCTCCTCCCTCCTACTTCAGCTGGAATTGCCCCCTGCGTGTACTCCTATCCCATTCTGTTCCTTTCTTTGTGCTTACAGCATGTGTGACTCACAGCTAGTCACCCCTTACAGATGTTCACCACATGAGGGCAGGAACTTTTTCTTTGATTTCTGTATAGCCTGCCTAATACCTGCTACATGCATGCACACTGTCATTTCAGTCGCGTCCAACTCTTTGCGACCCTATGGACTGTAGCCCATCAGATTCCTCTGACTGTGGGATTTTCCAGGCAAGAATACTGGAGTGGGTTGCTATGCCCACCTCCGGGGGATCTTCCTGACCCAGGGGTCGAACCCACATCTCTTACATCTCCTGCATTGGCAGACAGGTTCTTTACCACGAGTGCCACCTGGGAAGCCCCACCAGCTACACAGACATTCCTAAATAAGCATTGGTTGAATGGGCTCAGTTACTGATCTGTCCCGGTCCTTCCTGAACCCCAAGCTGCACTGGATACAATGTAACACATCTTGTGGTCTCAGAACCACTATAATGGCCTCCCCAAAACCCAACAGTGAAAAGCGTGCATCCCGTTTCTGAGTTGCTGTCTGGAGGTGTTCGTATAGTTTAACTTCCACAAGAAAGGGCTTAAAAATAACATCAACAGGGGACTTCTCTGGTGGTCCAATGGCTAAGACCCTTCACTCCCAATGCAGGGGGCCTAAGTTTGATTCCTAGTCAGGAAATGAGATCCCACATGCAGCAACTAAGTTTCTGCATGCTGCAACCAAGACCGGGTTGTTCAGTCACTAAGTCATGTCTGACTCTTTGTGACCCCATGGATTACAGCACACCAGGCCTCCCTGTCCTTCACTAGCTCCCGAAATTTGCCCAAGTCCATGTCCATTGAGTTGGTGATGCTATCCAACCAGTGATGCTAAGACCTGGTGCAGCCAAATAAATAAATAAAAATAAATATTTTTTTTAAATATCATCAAATTAGAAAATACAGATTAAAAGGTACATGTCAGGCTAAACTGATAACATTGAAACATTCCCATTACTTCAAAAAGTGAGTGGGTGGAATTCTTGGCATGTGTCTGCATCTGACTATTTATGGGACCCTATGATACAGGCCAGGGCTTTGGCTTCTCAGCCCATAAACTCCTTCTGGCCCATGAAGATGCCAGATGGACGGCCACAAGGTTGTTATTTTTAAATTATTCCAGTTATGTATTGATTTAGAGCCTAAAATGAGGAAATGAAGAGTTTAATTAAAAGGCATGGAATTTGACTCTGGTTCGGATAAACAAAGCCCCACTACAGAGTTCTGGACTTGTGGTCATATTTAGACAGTCACGCTACCCCCAGTCGGCCCAATCATTTCTGGACAGTCCCAAGTAGCACAAAGCTCCAAGGCCTTTGGGGTGCATGCGTACCCAGTCCCTCAGTTGTGTCTGACTCCTTATGACCCCACGGACTACAACCTGCCAGGCTTCTCTGTCAGTGGGATTTTTTATATTGAAAAAATGGCAAGTAGGTTGCCATTTCCTTCTCCAGGGGATCTTCCCGATCCAGGGATCAAACACAGATCGCCAGTGGCTCCTGAATTGCTGGTAGATTCTTTACCACTGAGCCACCTGTGAAGCTTTCAGTACCACACAGATTAAATTTAATTCATTTTGGTCAAGACAGATTCCAAATACTTGAACAAAGCTTGTCTGACCTTTACTCCTTCCTTCCAATTAAATGGCCCAATTTCCTGCCACTGTTCTCCAGATGACTTCACTGGCCCCACCACAGCCTCCTGGGCACTGATTCTTAACCCATTCCAGATGGTCCTAGAGGTTGGCGTGATGCCTGGAATGGAACATGGTATCCTAGGCATGTTTAACCAAGGGCTAGAATGAGTTTCTAGCACCCTTTTGTTGGGAATTTTTTAAAAATCGTTTATTTATTTATTTGGCTGTGCCAGCTTACTGAGTTGTGGCATTTAGGATCCTTTAGCTGTGGCACGTGAACTCTTAGTTGCAGCATATGGGATCTAATTCCCTGACCAGGGATTGGACCCCAGGCCCCCGGCATTGGGAGCTCAGAGTCTTAGCCACTGGACCACCAGCAAAGTCCTGTCTAGCGCCTTTTTGTTATGAGAAATGTCTGTTAAGTTAGCTCGAGCTGATTGGGTTTCTGCCTTCACTTCACATACTTGGCTTCTTAATGAGTTTTCAGTATTTAAAAGGCCACATTTGCTTTGCTACACAGACATGTCACTGCAGTCTTACACCTGTGTGGTTCCCCTTTCACACCTGTGTAGCCGTCCACTGGTTTCTATTAAATTCTCCCTCACTAGGTTTACCCCAGCCTGGACTTTGGTCCAACTTATTAACAGGTGAACTAGTTTCATTCCAGCAATGAACTGGAGCAGATCAGTGGGCATGCAGGCCCTCATCCAAGTCCCTGATCCCAGCGAACAAGGCCCAGACCGAGCCTCCCATCACATAATGGAGCGGACGCTGATCCACAGGGAGCAGTCATTCAACCAGATACAAGCTCACCTAACAGCAAATCATCTTCTAGCCCACATTTCTCCAGCTGACCCACGGGGGGAAAAGGGGCGTTTTCAGATGTCTTGCTGAAAACCAGACACATAATATCTATATCTTATCCTATACCCTGAAGATAACAGAGACATAAGCATTATGCCCTGAGAAGCCAGGATCCTCTGTTCAAATTGACGAGTCAAAGATGAGGGAGGCTGATAGCCCCTGGGAGGGAAACACCTTCACCTCTGCCATGAAACTACGTTTCCAACAGGGTAACCTTCCCGTTCTGTTTTTATTCCATATGTTTAACCCGGCTGAAGTTGTGACATCACTTAGTGGTCACGTCCTTTTCACTTCTTCCACATCTGGATACCTTAGCCACATCCTGGTTACCATTCTATCTAATACATTCAGCTGCCACCCTCTGGTCACCAGTAGAAAGATTTCATCACAGTTTCAATTCAGGCTCTAATATATGGACAAAGACCAGCTGAAGAGAATGCCTGCCAAGATCGAGACTGTCAAATTTGAAAGAACCTTGGTAATGGGAACTATACACATGTGAGATTAGCATTTGCTAATGCGGACAGCTCGTCCCTGGGAGCAGGTGTGGGTCTGGGGCAGGACTGTTGGCCGGTTCGGTTGAGAGGGGGCGGGACAGGCAGAGGCCCTGGGGGACCCAGGGTTGGAATCCCACCTGGGACCACCAGCAGTGGTCTTGCCTCTGGAATCTTGGGAAACTTGTTTCCTCATTATCAAACGGCAATAATGACAGTATCGGCCTTAGAAGATTATCAGGGGGGTTCCCCTGGTGGTCCAGTGGTTAAGAATCTGCAGGGGGAGAAGACAAGTTTCAAGCCCAGCTGCGCTGGAGCTCCTGCACTCTGAGCATCATAACCTGCACCATGCCCATGATCCTGGGTTACTGGGACATCAGCGGGCTGGCCCATGCCATCCGCCTTCTCCTGGAGTACACAGACACAAACTATGAGGAGAGACAGTACTCGGTAGGAGATGCTCCTGACTATGATAGAAGCCAGTGGCTGAATGAAAAATTCAAGCTGGGCCTGGACTTCCCCAATTTGCCCTACTTAATCGATGGGACTCACAAGCTTACCCAGAGCAACGCCATCCTTCGATACATTGCTTGCAAGCACAACATGTGTGGGGAAACAGAAGAGGAGATGATTCGTGTAGACATTTTGGAGAACCAAGTTATGGATGTCCGTTTTGCCATGGTCAGGATCTGCTACAGCCCTGACTTTGAGAAACTGAAGCCTGGTTTCTTGAAGGAGATCCCTGAAAAAATCAAGCTGTTCTCAGAGTTTCTGGGGAAGAGGCCTTGGTTTGCAGGGGACAAGCTCACCTATGTGGATTTCCTGGTTTACGACGTCCTTGACATGCACCGCATATTTGAGCCCAAGTGCCTGGATGCATTCCCAAACCTGAAAGACTTCATTGCTCGTTTTGAGGTCATTCCCCTGAACTCCTTAGTATTTACATCTTTCTTCTCTTTCTTATTCTCCCTGATTTCCTAGTTGGAACTACAATGAAGAATAGCATTTATGGAGAATTTTGNGAGACCAGGCGGACCTTCCTGCACACAGAACCTTCTGTCTTTTTCTTTCTCCTTCTGTTCACTCTAGATGGCTGCTTGGCCCCCTTATCTCCCTCCCACACCCCTTTCCATCCCTATTTTAAAGATTCAGTTTCCCACTATTTTTGAGCAAAGTTCCTCCCCTACCCCACATTATTCCTGCTGCGTTAAAGCCACCCAGACTATTCTTCCCTTCCACGATTACTTCTGCTGTGAGGAGTCCAGCCAGACCCCTGGCCCACGGGGCTCTGCTCTGAGCTCCCAGCACTGCAGGTCTGAAGACCAGACCTGGCTTGGTGTGCAGGCCCTGCTTCCCAGTGTGGTTCCTGCCCAGCCTGTCTGATCCCCAATAAAGCCTTAATCACAACAACAACAAAAAAAAAGAATCTGCAGGGGACACGGGTTTGATCCCTGGTCAGGAAGCTAAGATCCCACATGTTGAGGGGCAATTAAGCCTGCCCACCAAAACTAAGACCCAATGCAGCCAAATAAATAATTTTTTCAAAAAGAAAGTTACTGTGATAATGAGATAAAATTTAAATACCTCTAGGATGCAACACTTCACGAGTGTTAGCACTCACTCTCCTGTGCGTGTGTGCTAAGTCGCTCAGTCGTGTCTGACTCTTTGTGGCCCCATGGGCTGTAGCCCACCAGGCTCCTCTGTCCATGGGATCTCATGTTTCCTGCATTGGCAGGCAGGCACTGCACCACATGCCCCAAAATCTCTCTTCTGACTTGACTTTCACTCTCCTAGTAACTTCACATCCAGGAGAAGACAGGCTGTCTAGTCATCTTCCTGTACTATTGCAGCTGTGTAGCTGTCACTAAATATTAGAATGCAAATTCCACAAGAGCAGGGTTTTATCTGCTTTCTTTCATGCAGAATCCTCAGTACCTAAAACACTGTTTGAGACATAGTAGATGTCAAATAAGTGAATGCACACAGCTTCCTGGTTGTCCACGTTCACTCTCTCTTCAGGTTGCTTATGCGGTTGAAGTAGATAAAGTGAGAAAATCTGGGCAGAACATTGAACACTATGAGAAGCCCAACACATAAATACATACTCGACAAAGAGCAGCTATTATGATGTTGACATGACTCCTGGCAGGCTTACTGAAGGGAGATAAACAGCTATGGACAGATGGAAGCAAGATCAGGAACAGATGGTTTTTCTCTACTCTTGGAGTTTTCAGTCTAAGAGGGAAGCTGACAAATTTTTAAATTGAATATATTAAGTATACAGGATAATATGGTAACACAACATGAGGCTCAACCCAGGTCAGAGAGGCAGACAAGTCTTCTCTGACATACTACCCAGTACATGGAGACCTGAAGGTAAGCAGGATTTAGGTAAGTGAAGAGTCTGAGAAAGAACGGATACGTGTGCGTGTGTAACTGAATCATGTCGCCGAACACCTGAAACTAACACAACACTGTAGGTCAACGACATTGTTATTGCTGCTGTCCAGTCACTCAGTCATGTCCAACCCTGAGACCCCAGGGACTGTACCCCTCCAGGCCCTCCGGCCATGGGATTCTCCAGGCAAGAGTACTGGAGTGGGTTGCCATTTCCTTCTCCAGGGGATCTTCCCGACCCAGTGAACGAACCCGCATCTGCTGCATCGGCAGGCAGATTCATTACCAACTGAGCCACCAGGGAAATCGAATCGACTCTAGTGTCAGTTGTTCATTTGTGTCCGACTCTGTCACCCCATGGATTGTAACCTGCCAGTCTCCTCCGTCTGGGGGTTTCCCGGGCAAGAAAACAGGAGTGGGTTGCCTTTGCTTTCTCCATCCCGACCCAGAGGCAGATTCTTTACCATCTGACCCGCCAGAGAAGCCATATACTCTGATATACTCTAATCTAAAATAAAAGATTTTTAAAAATCCCAGATATAGGGATAAGCTTGTACAAAGGCCCTCTGGTGAGGAAGAGCTTTGTTTTCTGGAAGCATGTAGCAAGCAGGTGAAGTGTGAGAGGAGATGATGACCTCTGAGGCCAGGGGCAGGACCTGATGTACAAGACCTTAGGACTACGCTCAGAATTCAGCCAAGAGACGGGGGAGGGTTTGACTGGTGTGAAGAGCAGAGCTCCAACAAACCACAGCTGGTTCTGTAAGGATTCTGGCTGCTCCTAGAATTGATGGTGCATGCACACCCATCACTTACCTGTAGCCCAGAGACCAGCGATGGAGTGGACGGTGGGGCCGCCAGCCCTGCCTCAGTACGCACATGGAGGCCTCAATCAGTCGGAGCAGAAGAAGTGTGATTTCTGATTGGCCAAATTACCCACTGATGCAGGAAGACCAATTTTCTCCTCCTGTAAGGAACTGTACCTGTCACAGAGGAAATGGAAAAGGAGAGGCAATAGGACTGCGTTGTCCCCTTTCTGCCTAGCAGGTTGTTATTTGCATTCTCCAGAGTTCTTCCAGAACTCAAAGGCCACTCATATATCAACCTGGCTCTTCTCCACAACCTCAGGAGCTGGGAAGGCAGGTATTTTTTATTCCTTCTGTCATCCCTCCCTCCTCCTCCCACTCCATTCATTGTGCAGACAGAAAACCGAAATCACTGCCGAATGAAATGACCATCAAAGCTTATCAACAGAGAGAAAACTAGGATTAAAACCAGTTTCGTAATCCCAAGCCTCCCTTCTCTCCCATCCGTATTAGAAATAAGAGGACATGAAGGTTTTCTCTCTCACACACTCATTTGCTGTCCACATGAGTTGTGGGCTTCCCAGGCGGCACAACTACTTGCTTGAAAACTCGGGCCTTAACCTTGCACCCCAGCCTCTTCCTGGTGTGGAAGGAGCCCATTCTCTGGAACCCCCTGCTTGCTCTCTGTGCTCCAGCCCCGCCAGTGACCTGCCGGTCCCCCCACATGATGGACAGAGCCTCCCATCGCCTCTGACTCGTCTCCTACTGCTCTCTCTCACCCTGGCCTCCTCGTGTTCTTCTGACCCACACTTAGGGTCTTCCCGCTTAGGGCCTCTGCACGGGGTGTTCCCCTACCTGCAACATCTGCCCCCAGATATCTTCATGGCCAACTCCCTTACCTTCTTCAAATTTCCCTTCCTCAAGTGTCACCTTTGATGTGAGGTTCACCCTTACTTCCCTGTTTAAGCTTGCATACCGACCCCTCCCTTGGCACCTTTGAACAAGCTACACATTTTACATATAATTCTTGGTGTTATTCAGTCACTAAGTCATGTCTAGCTCTTTGAGACCCCATGGACTGCAGCATGCCAGCCTCCCTGTCCATCACCAACTCCCTGAGTTTCCTCAAACTCATGTCCATTGAGTCAGCGATGCTTACCTAACCATCTCATGCTCTGTCGTCCCCTTCTCCTCCAGCCCTCAGTCTTTCCTAGCTTCAGGGTCTTTTCCAATAAGTCAGCTCTTCACATCAGGTGGCCCAAGTATTGGAGCTTTAGTTTCAGCATCAGTCCTTCCAACGAGTATTCAGTGTTGATTTCCTGTAGGATTGGTTAATTTGATCTCTTTGCAGTCCAAGGGACTCTCAAGAGTCTTCTCCAGCACCACAATTTGAAAGCATCAATTCCTTGGCATTCAGCCTTCTTTATGGTCATGTATGGTTGTGACTACTAGAAAAATCATAGCTTTAAAATCACTGCAGATGGTAACTGCAGCCATGAAATTAAAAGACACTTACTCCTTGGAAGGAAAGTTATGACCAAACAAGACAGCATATTAAAAAGCAGAAACATTACTTTGCCAACAAAGGTCTGTATAGTCAAAGCTATGGTTTTTCCAGTAGTCATGTATGGATGTGAGAGTTGGACTAAAAGGAAGCCAAGTACCAAAGAATTGATGCTTTTGAACTGGTGTTAGAGAAGACTCTTGAGAGTCCCTTGGAGAGCAAGGAGAGCCAACCAGTCAATCCTAAAGGAAATCAGTCCTGAATATTCATTGGAAGCACTGAGGCTGAAACTGAAGCTCCAATACTTTGGCCACCGGATGCAAAGAACTGACTTATTTGAAAAGACCCTGATGCTGGGAAAGATTGAAGGCAGGAGGAGAAGGGGATGACAGAGGATGAGATGGTTGGATGGCATCACTGACTCAATGGACATAAATTTGAGTAAACTCCGGGAGTTGGTGATGGACAGGGAGGCCTGGTGTGCTGCGATTCATGGGGTCGCAAAGAGTCCGACACGACTGAGCGACTGAACTGAACTGAACCAAAGCAGTATATATGCCTGTGCCATGTTAATTAAAACCCCNTCCTCATCTATTTGCTGTGAAGTAATGATATGCTGATCGTTTATTGCCTGTGCCCTACTGCTCCACTCCCTACCCCATCTCTATATGTAAGCTCCAGAAGGGCAGGAATCTTTATATTATTAAGTTTATTTGGACTTCCCTGGTGATCCAGTGGTTAAGAATCCACCTTCCACTGCAGAGGACAAGATCCCTAGTTGGGGAACTATGATCCCATATGCCCTGGCGCAACTAAGCCTGCGTGATACAACTACTGAGTCCATATGCTCTGAAGCCCACAACTAAGACCCAACACAGCCAAGTAAATAAATAAATATTTTTTAAAGTTTACTGATACATCCAAACCATCTAAAATAGTGCCTGACAAACAGTAGGTGCCCTATAGATTTTTGTTGAATAAACTGAACGCATAAATGAACCTGTTAGTTCATATCTCTCTGCTCATGCGGTCTTCTCTATTCATCCTAACCCCTCAAAGCTACAATCTCACTGACAAGTTTTACTCCAAACATGTCTTGTTTACCTACTGGTCTCTCCCATTTCCAGTGCCAGGAGAGGCATCTTCAGTTATCTGTCAATGCCTACTTCCTGATACACACACACCAGAAAATAAAAGGCACTTAATATTTGTTACCTAGATGTCCACCAACAAATGAATGGATAAAGAAGTTGTGGTACAATGAAACACTACTCAGC